AACAAAGATGACTGCATATAAATGAGATGGGAATGATTAAGGCTTGCTTCAAGATGGGCATACTATCAAAATTCACACAAATTGACCTGTTTTATCAAATCCCGAGATGCCGGGATATTTTAAACCATAAATCCCGGGATCGGGATCGGAGATGAAATCCCGGGATCCCGTGCAAACCCTAGTGTCGAGTAATGCAGCATACTCGCATGTTGCATGAACACAAGCAAAGTAACAATCTGATGCCACACCGCTCCGTTGATATTTCATCAGTTTAATCGCATTTTAATCTCATCTTTAGTAAACTCCCATCGAAGTATTTAACGAGCAGCAGAAATTGACGAACGTATAATGCAGTTTGGAGGTGAACGGAAAACGTATGAAAACTTTCGTGAAGAACTAAGTGAATTGCCGTAAACATGGAACGTGAGTATTAGTGAAGAAAATACGCGAATTTGTCTTGGTTTGTTCATTCGTCCAGTTTGGTAATCCTTTAGGTTGTTGAGAAAGAGCATATAGAAACCCAAATTTAGTCCATTTTGTTGATTATTCACCGAGTAGTTGATCATTCAACTTCACTTGGAAAATTCTGTGGAACTGTGCAACACTTTTTAAGGTTTCAATCAAATTGAAATCTACCATTTACTAATTTTTCATATCCAAACACATATCCTTTCAAGCCATAGAATGAATGAATCGTCATCGTGATGCAACTTTCTTCGTTCGATGTGAAGCATTTTTTCTTCATCTATTCTCGGCTTCATTAGTTGTTTAGTATTTGATTTCTGATAGCTAATATTGTCTTGTCATTGACTCACTCACTGCATAGCTGTTCATTTTTTGATCAGCCCGAATAAAAATATTATGAGACATTTTATTCTTCGCTATTCGCTTGAAAAAAGTTTTAATATTAATGCAGCAGAAAAAGATGTAACATAAAAGATTGCTTACTGAACATTAATTGCTTTGAAATGACTCACTGAATGAAAGAAGCAGTTGTTTACAAAAGATATGGAACGAATTAAACATCAACCACAAAACAGAAAGTTTGCTTTCTATTTCGGAAAAAAATATGAAGAAAGCTTGAAACTATTCATATACTTTCCCAAATATGCACATTAAGATCTGAAGGAATTACATAAAATCAAGCAAATGAACCTCATCTATCATGAAAACCATGAGCTGGCATGGTAATCTTCACGTACATCCGAACGAATAAGACTTGAGTCGAATAAAAAACGCTTTGCGATGAAATCGTGAGCTGGTGATCTCGACTGATGGTTATTTCATGACTTGTACATTACTTCTATTTTGACTTGACTCCCAAAGCGCTCTGGAATGTGGGCTTGATATGAGATATACATAGTTACACCATCCAAACGCCGATTCCCTATTTTTCAGGCAAACATAATCAAAATTTCATAGAGAAGTTGCTTATTGATGCAAGATCTGATGATATCAGTAGATCACTCTTGATCAGTAAATCATTTGTCTGCTGTGTTTGCTCGTCAAATAGATCTTCATTTTTGATTTAACAGTTCAGTGCTACAGTAATCATCGATTGCGAATACCTACAAGTTTAATTCAAACAAAGTGAAGGCAATCGATTGATTGGGACAAGACTGATTTTGCTGCAGGAGCATTTAAATGACAAATTGAAGGAGGATGAATGAATGAAAAAATTGGTTGAATTCACTTGCGGCTACATTTCGATTGGGATAAACGATATGCACGGGTGATGCAGTGCACAAGTTGAGTAGTAGTAGCAGGTTGCTATGGTATCGAGTAATGCATCATGCTCGCATGTTGCATGAACGCGAGCAAAGTAACAATCTGATGCCACATCCCTCCTATCCAACCATCAACTCAACTTTGATAGTTCATCGGTTCAATCGCATTTTAATCTCATCTTCACTAGACTCCAATCAAATTATTCGGCCAATAACACATATCGTGGAATTGTTTTGCATTCCCTTGTAATGTTAGATGCGGATGCGTATAATTCGTAGTCGACAGTTGATTGATTATCTGTATTATTTTTTCATTATCACTTAGAATCTCTGATTTTTCATCGCTTACTGAAACTGATTTTCTCTTCTCGATCTTTAATATTGTTCCGAATTAAATCATCCAATTATCCGCATTCTGCATTATTGATGCTACGCATTAATTCATGCTATCATGACGTTTCTTATCTCAAACCCTCCAATTCAATATGCTTTGTTTTCTGCTTCGAGGTTTGCAATGAATATGATGAATATTCTCTGCCCAATGCGAGAAACGTGAACGATCAAATAAACCCAATATTTGACGTGCTGAAATTGGTGCATCAATTCGATTTCATTATCAGTTCATGAGCATTTAGTAGGTTCACTCGTTAATGTCTTCACCACACAAAATGTTAGAGTACAAATGAAGCATATTCAGAATTTTTTGAAGATGGCTGATAATCAGGACACAGTGGCTATATGGACAGTTCCTCTGCAGAATAAAGTGTACAAAATAGAATTCGAACATGGTACAACAACAGGCAAACGTGTCATACGGGTCGATGGGCAGGTTTGCTCATGCTTGTTGGCAAATGTTTCATTGAAGACTCATAAGATACATAGTCAGAGAAATTTAGTGAAATCGTCTCAAGGTCTTCAGGAAGTGTTACGAAAAGACTGGATGTTCAAATTGGTCGGAAAGGAGCAATTCTCAATCGGTCAAATCAAATGCGTTATCAGTGTTGAAGCATTGGGTACGTTTGCGTATGAATACAGTCTGGAGGTGAACGGGAAAACATATGAGAAGTTCCGTGAAGAACAAAGTAAATTGCTGCAAACATGGAACGTCAATATCGGTGGAGAAGATATGCGAATTTGCCTTGGTTGGTTGAGTTTGTTCGGTTTGGTGATGCTTTAGGTTGTTGAGAAAGAGTTTATTGAATCCCAAATTGAGTCAATTCTGTTGACTACAGGTTGAAATGAAGTTGACAACGTTTAGCAGAGAATCACAGCTCTTCAAAACCTGCCTTAAATCACTGGTAGAGAAAGAGTTCTGAACTCCATTAAAGACATCCTGGAAGCAGTAGCTGAACGTTCTGATATCATATTTCCATTACATTCTCATTTCTGAATCCTCAAAATCCTATCATTCACTTTTACTGCAGTATTGTTGCCGTCTAAATATCTCTCATGGTTCATATCACTCTTTTCTACGAGGAGAAAACTGATGTGGCACTAGAAACAAGTTTGGTTAAGTTACTATATGAAGCACACATTTTATTATTGATTTACAGAGAAGGGCACAATGGACATTTGGGTGAATGGACAAAAGATGGATACTGCGGTAAGTTCATAGCAAAATTATCACTGATGAGTTCCTTTTAACGTTTTCTTCTTTTCTGGTGGTAATTGTTAGTCAAGTTTTCGTCAAATACTTCGGCCTTCCAAGCAATTGATCACACTGAGAAACTCTTCTCATGAAACTGGCCAGATCTGACATGAACTTGAAAATTCTTGAGATGATCGAATGAGCATTGAATTAGAAATAGAAAAATACGAAAATTTCAGGGTGAATTCGTGGAGGATGGAACAGAGACGCATTTCGAGATCGGGAACAGCTCTTGTTACGTGAAGGCATCGAGCAGTGGCAAGAAGAAAGTTGGTGTGATACATCGTCTTTACGTCAACGGCAACGAAGTGCCTCCAGCCGAACAATGAAAACCGTTCCACTCGTCGAAATCTTTTAAGCATCTCTGGAAAGCCTTCCAAAGCGATCACTGTCATTTCGTTAATTGTTGCAGATTTCGCTAAAATTGATCCACAAATGCGCGCAATCGGCATTACCGAGTTTTGCCGCAGGCTGACTCAAACTCACGATTGAGTTCAGGCTCAACATATTGTTGGTGTCTGATGCAGACAGGATTTTAGGGATGAAATTCGGTTGAGCAGAGAATTTGAGCCAGCATCTTCTCATAAGTCAACATGATAGCAATTGTAACTAATGTCAACATGGTCTTGTGTCATAACGAAGTGTAATTAATATGTCGCCATCAGAGGATGCATTCTCTAAACTGTATCTTAAAATTCTGAAATAAGTGCTGCCGTTTATATTGCCGTACTTTGTTGCTTGGCTAACATTGAAGACGATTCTCAAGATTATGAGATTCTGGCAAATGTAACTGTGTTGCTCACGAGAGTGTTGATGGGTTAAAACATCTTTTGTAGACTGCATTTTGGAAAGTAATGATCTGTCGGTCAACTTCTTTCGTGATCCAGATTGCCTTCTATACGTCACTGAATTATTCCGTTGTTCTGTTCGACTGTCTAGAACTTACATTGGATAAGGAAAACGAGCTGAAGTCGCTCCGAATACGTGCTGAGTCTAAGATTCGAATGGTCTCTTCGAGAAATTTCCACAGACGAAAGAATATGCGTATTCTAATCACTAACAGTATACGCATAGTGATTCAGTCAATTGTAAAATCGAATGCGATATGATCATTTGAACAAATGAACGACGCTTAGTTACAGTCATTGTGTTGAATTGATATTTTGGACGTATAAAAAGTTTCATTGCTCGATCAAGAATGTATTCGTGTGACTTTATCACCGTGGACGGTTAACAGCAAAGAACAAGACTGTAAAGTGCACGAATGGTAGGAATTTCATTGATCTTATGATAAAATTTTTGCTGACAGTCCATGGGAACATTCCATCAGCAAATACCAAAAAACGTTAAGACGTTTAAGATCAATCGTACATTAATAATACGGTCTAATATGGTATTTCAAATAAAGAAAGAGTCCAAAGTGATTGAGGAAATCGTACACACCGTCTGAAATGTTTCAAAACTATGTTCCAGAATAAAGTTGGGAATGGGAGCGTTTTTAAAAATCGCTACATACCGTACACATAACCGGCGGCCACCGACAAAGCAAGTACTGAGCGCTGGCCAGTTTAGATCAATGACCATTGAAATTCTGTTCTTGGTGGCCACCGAATCAGTGGCAAGCAATCAACAGTGGCAAAAGATGCCTGCTGGTCAGTGGTACCGATTGGTCGGCCACTTTTGCCTTCGTTCGGTGATCATCGAGCAGGATGATCAGCTCATTGGTCGATAGATCCCAGAAATCATTCTGTGGCCATCAAGCGGAATTCGAGGACCACAATCCAACATTTCTCCCAAGCGTGATGTGCTGGAATCAATTATCGCCTCGATAGCTAGTTAAATTGATTAAAAACGGTCAATTAGTTGACCAAATCGCACGGAAGAGATACATTCTGCTGTTTGAAGACCTTCGTTTGCGAAAGCATTTCATTTTGCCTGATCGATGCTTGATGTTGCATTTTTTGATTAGTTCAAATAACGAATGAAATTACACAATTTGAAGTCTCGAGTCAGCATACATTCCGAAGTTCGTTGAGATGTTGTGGCTGATCAGAAATTCATGGCAATTCAGGATTTTAGTCTAAAAATCTCTACCTATTTAGGCATCTCTTCTGCTTTGCAGAGTCCATCAGCACTGATTCACATCTGTAATGCTACATAAGCAATGCCATTTACGTGAGCTACGCTTCTTACATTACTTTTTTACTTTTACATTACATTTTACATTACAATTGAAACTGGAGTTAAAAGTTGATCGTTGATAATTTTATCGCTTGCTTTCTGGGCTTCTCACTTGGTAGATATTTGATTGAAATAAAAACGTAATACCAAACTGAGTCATCGAAATACCAAACTCGACTGTTGAACGTGCAATCGAGAATGAATTTCAGTGGCAACTGTAAAATTATACGCGATATAATATGCATATATTTGTTCACCAAAAGTTATGGTATGATTTGACGTCGCAGTTATTCACAGTCTTATCAGTTGACACCAAACGCATAAAAATGACAATAAAATATATTTCATAATCTACGCCGAGCATTCTGTGGTTTGCTAACAAACTTTGCTGATTTTTTCTCATTAAAAAATTTTAAGAGTCGTATCAAAGTATAAGGTATGAGCAAGACTGGAAAAAATCATCACTTGACAGAATCTCACGTGATAGCTTATTATAAAAAAATCAATCTGACACTATAAAAGACAGCCACAAATTTGAAAACAGTATTCTACACTTCAAACATTCTGCAGAATGCGTGCTTACTTCCAGTTATTGGGCTTGTTCGCCCTTTCACTTGGACTTTCGGGTAAGCACTCTTAGATCGTCATGACGAGTTTCACTGTTTCATGACCGTTGTTTTAGTCAGAAACGTCGCAGGAGTGTGTTTCGATTACGGTAAATGCTACCACATCTGAAATGCATCAAACTGCGCAACATTCTCACTTCAAGATCAATCGCCAGTAGAACGGCATTGTTTTCTTAGGAATTTTATCATTTTCTGTAAAAATCACAGTGATCTGCAGAATTTCATCTCAGTCGAACGTAATTTTCA